TTTTGGGTTAAAATCTGTTCATATTAATTCTCTAATTAGCATAATAATTACTATTTTTTTGGTTCTAATCACATTTCAATGAAACTTGGTACATTGTGCAGACCTTATTAGTTTTACACTTAAATCTGTTAATATTAGTTACCTTATTTGCATAATTAGTTTTCTGCGTTTCCATTTTGAATTAATTTTTAATGTGTCTCCAATACTCTCAGCACACGGGAGTTCTTTCTAAGCTTTCTTTGATTTTTTTATGTGGTATCTTGAACGTGCTCTGTCAGTTTTCATTCAAATTTGGCACATACATTTACTTTATACATGTTAAGATGCATGTCCATGATAATTTGTTTCAAAATCTGGTCAATGATGGCCGATTGACAGCCATCTGACTTTTTGGCCTTACTCCTATATTTACTAATTTATGTACCATTTTCATTCGTATTTGGCACATACATCATACATATCAGTGTGTTTCATAATCAGATCAAAGATGGCCAAATAACGGCTGTTTTTGTTTTTGGCCATATTACTACTACATGGAACACGCGTTTTGATGTAAATAAACAATCTGTTGTATACGCCACTTGGAACTCAAGTTTCAAGGACACGCTCGCAACATCCCCTATGCTTTAATATGACGAGCACAAAGAAAACTTTCAAAAATTTAACGGGGACTGTGTCATTTCAATGACTTGTTTTGTATTATATCAGGTGATAGGCTGCTAGTTTTGTACTATATCAGGTGATAGGCTGCTAGTTTTGTACTATATCTGGTGATAGACTGCTAGTTTTGTACTATATCAGGTAATAGGCTGCTAGTTTTGTACTATATCAGGTGATAGGCTGCTAGTTTTGTACTATATCAGGTGATAGACTGCTAGTTTTGTACTACATGTATATCAGTTGATAGACTGCTAGTTAGTCCCCGTTCGGACGCAGTCCGAAAACGGGGACTTATGTTTTGCCCTGTGTGCGTGCGTCCGTCCGTCCGTGCGTCCGTGATCACCTGTATCTCGAACATGCATGGACCGATTAAGTTCAAACTTCACTCATACATCACACATTATATGGGACATATGCACATGCATTTTTTTCATGATCCGATTAACGATAGCCGAATAGCGGCCATTTTAAGGCCGAAAATGCATCAAAATCGCACATTTT